ACTGGCTTAACAGAATTCCGTGACATCGGACAGGCGCTCCGTGGCGCCTTTTCCGAGAAGGCCCTATAAAGCCCTATCGAGCAACAAACTTCCGTTCCAAAGGCCTTCCTCGCCCGCCCGCCCATAAACGGACGACCGTTTCTGACGCTCGTATTTATTCATTTGCTGAGCAAATTATGAAGCAAAGGGATTGGTATGAAGCGGCCATGATGCTGCATGCATATATGGGTACACATATGCAGCCGTATCTTCGGTAGCGGTGATTGGCAAGGTGCGTACGGAAAACTCGTCCGAAATCGATTTTCAAGTCACTGAAAACGGAGGATCTTTCTTCGCCGGATTTTGACCGTTTCTCTCCGTTCTTTCGCCATTTCCCCACTACATGGTGCTCTGCTAGCATTTTAGGCCGAGTGGGGAACCATAGTGCCAACTGCCTTCAAATACGATGTCAGTTTCACAGGAGCAGCTTCGAGTCATTCGCATTCTATGTGTGGCTCCACAGCAGTGAAGCAACGCCAGCTGTTCGTAACACGAATATTGAACTAAGGGAGGATACCACTACCACCAGATCTGTTCACCGCTGATTGGCTAGCTTCAGAAAGGGGATATGATTTTCGAAGGCCAGACTACCGTTTTCAAAGCTGTCAAAGAGCATCCGGAGGCTACCACCTGCGATCTTGCGATAAGAATCGGCTGCACCTAACAGACAGCTGTCAACCGCTTCTAAGCTCTCGGCTATCGAAGAGTATTGGCCGAAAAGTATTGGCTCGATGGCTTACTCATACCTCCACGAATTCCCCGCGGTGCACTCACGTACCCAGGTCAGTCTCTCCTTCTCCGCCCTCATCAGAAGGTGTTCTTGAAGATTGGCTGGTGGAGATGAAAGATGGGTTGCTACGATTCCAAATCACACAGTGTCGTGTGACTGTCTGGAGAAGACCCATCTTATCAGGTCAAACCGGGCACGTGCATGTATTGTACTGAACAAGAAGGTTCTCCTGTGCTTCCTCGGAACGCGAGATGAATGCTGTACAGTGAAGTGCCCATGTGAGAACACGACGTCACCACTTCCGTTTGTGCCACTCAGTTTCAGAAAGGCGTAGAAATTTTGGAGAAAAATGACCAAGACTACCTTCCGGGGGCACCGGTGCGTTCGTTCCAAACTCAAATGCTTGTAGATCACTCAAAAATTTTGAGAAATGGTGGAGGGACCCGCCACCATATTCTCCTGAAATGGGCCCCTACGCATTGCTTATCTGTTCTGTCCGTTGAGGTTTCTTACTAAAGAATGTTTTAGCAATTCGGCATGACATCAGTCAAGAGTTCGGCTGAATTTCTTCGATTAGCAGTCTCCACAGTTTCTAAGAGAGGGGATTGTCTGGCCTGCCCATTATATGAAGCCACGTAGTAGCGGCCTTAAAAAAGGCGGGGCACTAAAAGAAAAGGTGATTGTCACGACTATGAATTATTCTTCTCAATGCATGATGAATGAGTAATGGAAAAAAAAAAAATAATCACAACAAGGACAAGCGTTTTCCCCAGACCTAATACTACTCGTTGAAAGGGGGGGGGGGGGGCAATTCTCATTTTCATTCTTGTCTTTGAAGGTCTACCACTACATGGGCTCCAACATGAGTGCGGTACTGCTAAATATACTACGTGTTCTTGACCCACTTAGTGTTCACTGAAGAACTTGGGAGCTCTTGTACAGTGCAGGAAAGGTGGGAGAACTTAGCATGGTCCGAGACACGTGGGACACAGTGGTATTAGGAGAGGAGAACTATGGCACGAGAGGTTGACAGGGCTGGAAGCTTTGTGTCGGTAGCGAGAAGGACTGTTGGAGAGTCGCTCTCGTATTCTACATAGATGTCTTATGCCACAATTAACACGAAATCTGATGCCTCGGAGGTGAAGACGAGCTTGCACACTACTCACCCTTTTCTGTGAGTCTCCGTGATGCACATGCACGAAGCGCCCGTTGATTGCCGCAATGAATGCTTGTGTCGTAACAAATGTGACTCGTGCTGCTCCTTTGGGGTATTTCAGCTCTGGATCTATGTCGATTCCCACGTAGCATACTGGGCCATAAAGACGCTCGAGGCATTCTGCCAATTCACCTACAAAAATTGTACTTCTCGCTGAAGCAGAATCATAACCGATCACTTCACAGATTAATATGCTGATCTCTTGAGTTTCCCTGAGATAGGTGTAACTTTCATGACTTTTTCAAAATTGCGTGTGATTATTTCGTCAATGTCTTCCCGTTTAATACCGTGCTCCCGAATGAGCATTACTTTTACATCTGAACAATTTCATACATCTTTGACAAATCCATTTTCGCGAGATGGTCCAATACTCCTCACTCCACACATAACTTTCTTCACTTTCAGCCTAATATGCTGGAGCTTCATTTCTCACGCTCTTTATCAGCTCAGATGAGCTGTTATCACTTCCTTCCACCTACAAGCAACATACTCGTCCTGTCTCCTGAATAATTTGTTGGATCGAAGTCTCCCTTTCTAAGGCGCCCTACCGGGTCTCATCAGCTGCTTTCACTTTCTGTCACCTATCGTGCATGTTCCCATCACATCGACTTTACCACTTAACTATCTAAACGTTCTGCGGTTGAGCCCAAGGAAGTTATGAAATTCCAATCACACTCTAACGCACACCTATGCTTACCCATACAAACTAAGAGGATTATATAGTATTACAGAATCCTGGAAGAAAGCTATCTGAGAATGCTTGTTTACTAATGCGGGGAACAGCTCAGCATGTTGCTTTTTCTTGTTTTGTTTATTTTCTCGAGTATCCATTGACTAACTTGCTCTCGTTGGACGAGGTACCCCGCCAATGAAAACGGTCCTGCGAGGGTCCATAACTGTGCGCGGATTTGAGATGAAATCCATATCAGCCAATCGCCATGGTCTGACCTGTACTGGTTTATCTCGCATTGTTGGCGACGAAACAAATAGATAGTATCTACAAAAAGGCCCATTCGTCTCAGGCAACTCGCATGAGGTCCACACTCCAACTTGATGGTCTCACCTGTCGTCCTCCTTATGACATTCGCTGACAAGGTACTGAACCGAACTTTCTTCTTCAAATACGAGAAAAACGTATCCGGTCATGGAACGAGCTGAAACAAATAAGACTGGGAACGCTAGCGCTAGGCTGCTTAGAAAATTTGCCTCACATCCTCTACCGGATTCTTCATCACGAGCACTTGTGCCGTCTGGTCGACGCGGCCAATCAACGAGCACGTTTCCAAAAACGGAGAATGTCTGCCAGATTTCCTCTTCAATAGAAAAATATCATAGTCAGATATGATGAAAATCTATGATTTGTATGTTTTTTGATTACCTTCAGTAACGTCGATTGGCAAACCGCCAACGAATACCTTCCTCGCAAAAACTTCCACATCGTTACTGAATTGCGAAGGCGTCCTCGAAGGTGTGCCAAGCATCTTTCTAGCGGGAATTGGAGATTTTGTGTCCAAGGGTGCTGCATGTGGTGCTGAAGTAGACACAAGCTAATTTGTTAGGGCAAGAATGTATGTGGCCTACACAGAGCAATTGCCTTCACAGCTGCTACCGACGATTCACGAAGCAAAGTGGAATAGATGGCGGCCAGAGCATCATTGTTTCAAGACTTGATACGGGACGACAAATTCTTTTTTATTACAGCTTTCAACGGCATTCGAGGCACACAGGTTCCCCTCAATTAACTGGTTCATCAGTAATCACCGATGAATCAATGCAAGGCGCACAATTTCAGATTTCTTGATTTGCAAAAAGTTAAGCTCAGACATAAATAGCAGCCATTACCAAACACTAAATTACTCTACAAATCAGTAGAAACTTGTGCAGTATTGTTTTATGCATGGTTTGAAGCAAAATTTTCGTTAAGAATTGCGCCATGTCGCATAGTTTCATGCGCCACTTTTTTCGTAGGAATCATTGTGAGAAACGGCACCTCTCTCCAATAAGTTTATTCACACCTGGATCGAATGACATTGCCTTTCCTCTGCTTTGTACCCGTTGATCTCGTAATGTGAGAATTTGGGAACTATCATATAGTTTTACATCGTAGTACGTGGAAACCACAATCTAGAACAAGAGAGCGCTTGCAGATGGAAGGAAAGGATGCTGAGCCTCTGTTCATGCTTGTCTTTATCTGTTTTCCAGTTGGACCTACCACATTTCCTCGAAAAAAGCATGCAGTATTGGCTACGTATATATGTAGGAGTATACCGCACTCTGAAGAAAGCTTTCTGAGCATGGCACACTCAGACATACATACGAGCTTGGGCTCTTATGTCCACATTTACCTTTTTGCAAAGTGGCGTCAATACGTCTGCGATAAGAGCTTGATAGCATAAGACACACATTCTTTTCTCTTGATTCCTCCCTATTCTCCATTCCTCCCTATTGATCTTACAGTTAACTCGTCTATTCTGAGCCTTTTGTGGTGGCAGTATTGTTGAAATGCATCGCACCTGGTAGCAAAATGAAGCTCGTTGCTTCACGGCGCGGCCACTGATTATCGCAAAAAACTGCGGCGTCCTATCTGCCTATCCATTTTCCCCTCACACTTTTGTCAACTTGTGTCTTAATTTTTTTGGATTCAGGAAAGTCATCTCACATGCTTCATCCCAAGAGCATGGGATGAGAAAGTTTTGGAACGAGGACTCTACTTCACCAGCTGTACTGTTGACCAATTGGGAACGCCGATTTTCGTGATCTGTAATGGAAGAACCGAGGGTCAGCCCTCTGGTTTGGTCTCATTTATTGTAGATCAAACCTGCCAGATGGTAAGTACAAGGCATTCAAAGACGCAACCCTCCCGAAACGATTCCTCCTCTCTGGCTGTGAGGATTTAAGTCGAAAGAAATTCTTGTTAAATTGGTTCATTTACGTCTGCTTCGCTCCACAGTACCTTCCAATATCAATGAAATGCGCTGAGAAGCTTAAGGTTTCGGTAGCGCATATATCTGAGAGACACGGCTTTTACAGCTCTGCACGTGCATATATTCATGAATATGTGGTGCGGCGGCGTCTAAACTTCCAGCTTTTACTAATACTGAGTTGCATGATCTCAACGGAGTCGCTTTTCTTTTTTAGAGCCGAAGAAGAAGACCAAAATCTATTCAACATGGCATCGTTCCCTTCTGATTACAGCAGATGTCTTATATAAAAGGAAATGTTTGGCACGCAAGCATCTAATCACGAAACTGCTTCGTTTCGCAGGCTCCTCCCGTACGAGTTCTTTGGGAAGTTGAAACTTACCGCATGTATTAGGAGATGATCCAGCGCTAGATACACTTTCGTTTGAGCAAAGACTGGCATTGGTAGAAAGGCACGGTTGCGGAGCGCATGATGTTGCTTGCTCTGAAATGGAAATTGAAAGAAATACCTGAACTCAATCATGTCTTCTTATTCGTTAGTGTACACACCTATTTACATGGAACGGTGGATATATGAGGGGGCGTCGTTTAGCAAAGGAGAAGAAAATGAATGAATGCCGATATAAAAGATCTAAGCGGTGCACACAATTACCGAACAATCATCCACGACGTTGCTTGGAAGCGGGAGGCCTTAGTGTCGATAGCAAAGTGACGCTTGATTGTCCATCTGAATTCAGTATCAGGGAACCACAGCTCATGAAATTAATTGTTGAAGAGGCTCATTCCACTGCCAATCCCTTCGCATAGCAGCACCAAAAACAGAAGCCAGTCGTCGGTTGGAGAGAAATATTTGTCAGCACGTCCGCTTTCAACAGTACAGGGCTAGACCGCACGCTGTGAAAAGGACCACCACGGAGCTCAATAGAGCTGGTTGGCTCTCTCTTTGCACTTCCGTTACTCCTTCCATCAGCTAGCTGTCTTCCGAACTAACTCGTTTCGCGGACCAGACGGCTTCAGGACTCGAGCGCAACTCAAAATCGCTGACCTGCAACTTCACGTCGTGCCAGCCTGCGTTGTGAAGTGATGACATCTAGAAGGTGTCTAAGAGCTGCTAAGGATCTCACAATAGCAACGGTGGATATGTCCGATCTTATAGAATAACATTCTACTCCATAAAAAAACTATCTGCGTTGTACAAAGAGCCGTCATCTTGTGTTTCTATGGAGCACTTCGCCGCAAGCGAAATGTGGGTCGTTAAAGAGACAACTTCAATTCCGGAATTAAAGCGGCGTCTGCCATTCTTCACAGTCGACCCACTCTGGACACTCAGATAAGTACACTATAGTTCTCTGCAGACGGTTGGGCGTGTCAGCCAGTATGAGTGTGTCACCCTATCAAGGCCGTTGTCTGCCTTCCTGTTGAAAAGCGTTTGCGACAAAAAGTGGTAGAAGACTAGTAATACGAGAGATGTGATACAGTATTGTCACTTGGCCGCTTCAACAAGTGATGTAGAACGAGTTTGGCACCGCGCCAAGCGCAGCCGCACGGGTACGCCCCACCGTCCGCAGCGAACTACACTATAACCATATCGGCGGAAAGGTTCTAGCAGGTATCAATAACGGAAAACGATGGACCGCGCACGCGAAATTCGGTGCATTCGTAAAATAATCGAATGCACATCGATCGAATTTGAGTTTGCTGAAAAAAAAGATGCAAAGTGTCGAAATGGTCTCTGGACTTAAGGAAGAGGTCACCTGCAACGAAGGATTAACTTAGAAACAACCACTCTGACAGCCTTTTGCAGATTCTAGGATCCAGAACTGTTGGAGCATGTGGTGTGCGGAATATTAATGAAGAAAAAAGTGAAGGAACCGTAAAAAACGCCCAAGAGTGCTATTGGTTCAGATCTTCGCTTGGGTATACAGAGCAGAGACTGAGTGTAGGGAAGAGAAGCCCATTGTGGCATGGCTAGAATACACAAGATCAAGCAGCCACCGCTAGATAGCAATGCTGAAACTGAATGTCAAAGGAGGATTCAAATTGAAGCCGATGCGTATGCGAGAGTCAGGTCATCGTCGCTGAGCCGTCGTGCTTTTATCCACCGCTTCCGAATAGCGAAAGTGAGACATCATCTGTAACTGTCCATATCCTCTTTTGCCCCACTACTTCATCCTGTACAGTAAGTTTTCTACACCTTGGTCAGTCATGGGCGCTGTTGTTAAGAGTGGTGAACTAGTTATCGCTTTGAACATTGCAGATTCTTGCATAAGTTAGCTAATACTACCTGAGACGGTGTGCTACACTCAACGTCGAGATGAAGGATGGATCGCCTCAGTGACCCTTTAACCCCTAAAAGCACTTGCTGAGGGGAGGCGGGGATGCGACTATCGGTTATACCCTGTGTGGCATCATGTTGATTGACATATTTGAGTTGCGCTAGAAGAATACGGTTGCAGAGCGGCTAAAGGAAGCCAATACAAAATACATTCAAAGAAATAACAGCAGAGAGCGGTGGGCCACCGAGAGATCTCAGTTATGGTATAGGTACGGCCTCAAACTAATGATGTACAGTCATTCTTACGTTTTAAAAAAACGTTGCCACCACCAGCAAGTAGCAGAGGCAATGTGTCCTCGGCGCGATTGTAACGTGATGGAATAATTCCTGTTGCAGAAGGGCTATTACAAGAGTAGGTGATGTTATTTTGTGAAGTGATGGCTTGTGGGCGAGGAAGACCAGCGAACAGTTTTTCGGCTCCAAACATAGGATTGTAAGTCTGGAAATTCCGTAATTGCCTTTTCGAGATCATAATGCTCAGAGGAGTTTATCGTACCTGTGATGAGACGGTATCTTCGAGAATACTAGATCTACTCGCTGCTCGATCCGGACGTGCGGGTGGCTCGGACGAATACTGTGGTATCTGCAGGGTGAGGGCGGCCAACTTAAATACTTTTTCTGAGAACCATTATGAAACACTAACAGCAAGCTTCAACAAAGCGCGCGCTGTGCTGTGGCGCAAGGCACTAACAAGAGCTCACCCGGGAACATGGAGCGTTATATCCCAGTAACGGTGCGAGCGACGAAAAAGGCATTGCATGCGGGTTGATGTTATAGCAATTGCACTGTAGCCGTTGCTGTGTGTCGCCAGAATCGCGAGCGACCGGCTTCTGCAGGGAAAATGAACTCAGGAATGCGCCTTGCTCACACTGTAACTGCCGCGCGATGACCAACAACACTACCCATGATCGCGCGGGCAATAATGCGAACGCAATATCGATGGCGCCGCCACGGCCCCTCCTGCTAGATCAAGCATTATCTGGTTCTATGAAGAAAAGCTCCTTAAGCTACTCCACATCGACGCGGGACGTTGGTTCGACCATCACAACTATTGTTGCGGGTGGACTACTAAACATCACATGGTCTGACAGGGTTTGCCTGTCGACCCGGCGCGTGAGTCTTGATTGCTAAGTGGTTTTATTGCATTATTGCCTCATATATAACTTAGCCATTGGATTCATAAACTTATTAGTTCCACTTGTATTGATGTCTTACCATGTACCAG